TATATATATATATATATATATATATATATATATATATATATTTATAGTCAACTAGTGGTTACATTAACTCTTTCACTGTGCGTAAAAAGTTATACGAGTAAAAAGACTATGGTTATAAGGCCACTCTTGACTTGGAACAATAAAATAATATCTAACACAAAGTATATTTATAAATGATTAAAGAAAAAGCTGCCAAAACTCTGGTGATCAGTCAGCAAAACAAAACAAAAGGCTTTCCTCATTATTCGCATGCTATTTCTTAAAATTTTGAGTGGCTAAAATGACCCAATTGCCAATGAGATGACTGGTTAGAAATGTTGTCGAAAAGGGGCATTAGTGAACACTCCAGATCTCCGTGGGCCGTCTTCTTCAGCTTGGCCCCTCCCTTCTCGATCTGGCTCCTCCCACTTTCCCTCCCTCCCTCACCCTGCTCCCGCCCACACTGTAAGTCCGGCTCCTCAGAAGGTCATGAGTTGAAACTCCCGCTCGCTCTGCCACTCGGGCACCCAGACGGGGTAGGTGGCGTGCTTCGGCTCTGTTATGCGCACCGGCAGAGCGTCGTGTCTGGCGTGGTGGACGTGGTTAGACACGACCTAGCAGGGAGGGAGGGAGAAACAGGACAGGGGACGCTAGCAAAAGAGCCGCCACTGCCGCAGCCAATCACCTTGTGGAATCCTTCTGATTGGAGGAGAGGTTTTTTTTTGGGGGGGGAGAGTGGGGACAAATTCGATTGGTTACAGGGTGGTGATTGGCTGAATGGACAAGGGTGGATCTTGACTGGTTAGATTGGAGATGGTGGTGTTGCTAGTACAGTGTGTGTGGCTCTGCCTCTCTCTGTCTGGCTCCAGCGGAAAGACACGCTAGGTGAATGTCTGTTAAAGAAGAAAAGGGGGGCGGGGCTTGCTAGGGAATTCTTGCTGATTGACACAGTGAAATTAGGAAGGGCAGAGGGGGAAATAATAATAATAATAATCTTCCGGGGAGGGCAGGTTTTCAAATCCAGAGAAGATAGCTTAATTCCCTTTTGTGTAAAGCTTTACATTTTACAGTGTATAAAGGATGTGAGGCAAATAAAACAAATAAAAGACATTAGCATAAATCGAAGCGTCTTTCCGTTATTTATTTACTTATTTTTTTTGCTAAGCTTACTTGCCTCTCTTCTCTTACTGAAATACGTAGCTATATAAAAAAGCACGTGATCATGCGCTTCTGTGGTAGGGATTCAGTTAAACTTAGCTCCATACCTCCCTCTAGTGGTCAGAGATGGCATTACACTCTCTGGCTTTGCCCTCCGCTGCCCTGGGTTTGAGGGGAAGGGATGATGAGAGGGTACCTAAGGGCAGATCCACTCACTGCAGACCTAGAAACAGCATCTCTCTAGCTGGCTGTCTTGTCTGAACGCAGCTGCTGGGAGATCTGCAGTCAGGGGAAGTCCAGCACTCTCAGTAGTGGGAGTGCGTGGTGCTCTGCATTAGCTGCCTCATACTTACTGTGAAGATGTTGGAGCGTCGCTTGGACTGCTTGCGGATGGGCGTAGGAGTGTTGGAGGCGGCGACGGTCTCGATGCGCATCTCCCTCTGGCTTATGCTGGGGGTGGAGGGAACCGAGGAGGAGTAATCGCTGAACGCGCCTCCTCCGTTAGCAGCCTGAAAGAAACAAGAGAAGGAATAGGGAGGGAGAGAGGGGTAGATAGAAAAGAAAAAGGAAAAAAAACAACAGACAGATTGACAGATATAGAGTTAGATTGAACAATGTAAAAGACCAAATGACAGACACAGATAGACAGATGATGATAGATAGATAGGTAGATAGATGATAGATAGATAGATAGACAGACAGACAGACAGACAGACAGACAGACAGACAGACAGACAGACAGACAGACAGACAGACAGACAGAT